CAGCCAGCTCGCCCTGCCCGGGCTGGGCACCCTCACCCCCGGGCGCCCCATCCGCTCTCTGCTTCCCCAACCCGTCAGCCTCACCTCCATCCTCAGCCAGCTCGCCCTGCCCGGGCTGGGCACCCTCACCCCCGGGCGCCCCCTCCGCTCTCTGCCTACCCCGCCCGTCAGCCTCACTTCCATCCTCAGCCAGCTCGCCCTGCCCGGGCTGGGCACCCTCACCCCCAGGCGTCCCCAGGGCCCACAGGCAACTGCAGCACCCTGGCTCCTAACAGGGCATCCTTACTTGCAGGACTTTCTCATGGAGACCTTCATCCTGTTCAAGGACCTGATCGGCAAGACGGTGTATCCCTCCGACTGGATGGTGATGAACATGGTGCAGAACCGGTGAGCAGAGCCTGGCTGCAGGGACGTGTGGAGACTGGACCTGCCTGTCCTGGGTCTGAGGGGCTGCAGGGCTCCTCGCCCACAAGCGCCCACAGCTGGGGGGAAGTGCGAGCTGTCCAGGGCACATGCCCCTGCCAGGGGGATCCCGGCAGCTCCAGCTCAGCAAGGGTGGCAGGGTGAAGAGGGGGTGGGAGGGGGTAAGTGGGGGGCTCAGCATGGGCGGGGGGCTCAGCGTGGGCAGGAGGGGGTAAGTGGGGGGGCTAAGCGTGGGCGGGGGGCTCAGCGTGGGCAGGGGGGCTAAGTGGGGGGCTAAGCGTGGGTGGGAGGGGGTAAGTGGGGGGCCTAAGCGTGGGCGGGGGGCTCAGCATGGGCAGGGGGCTAAGTGGGGGGCTAAGCGTGGGTGGGGGAGCTCAGCGTGGGTGGGGGGTAAGGTGGGGGCTCAGTGGGGTGGGGGGCTAAGCGTGGGTGGGAGGGTAAGTGGGGGGCTCAGCGTGGGGGGGGGACTGCGAGTCCTGGCTGGGGGCACGAGTCGCTGCGGCATGGCCACGCCTCTGCCCAGGGTCTCTCTCAGTTGCCTGGCCGGGCAGAGCTCTCAGGGGGCAGCAGGGGGGCTGCTGGCACCCAGAGGCTCAGTCTAGGAGGCGGGGAGGCTGCAGGGCCTGCCCCGAAGGGAGAGTGGGACCCTTGCGGGGCTGCCCCACTGTTGAAAAGCTGGGGCGTGGCACAGACCTTGTGACTCAGTGATGGGTGGGGGAGGTGGCTGCGGACAGGGTGTGGAGGGGGTGGAGGGCTGTGTGCACACATGTGTGCCCACCCGAGGGGTGGCCATGCTGGCTGTGTGTGTGTGTGCAGGTGGGAGGTTCTCTCTTTGGGGGGGTGAGGGATGGGCATGTCGTTGCATGGTGAGTGCATTCCTGTGTGGGTGATGCTGGCGTGGGCACGAGTGGGGGTGTGCGCATGGGGGGGTTGCCTTCCTGGGCTGCTCTGAGCGTGGGTCACAGAGGGGCCAGCACAGACAGCAGACCAGCCAGCCAGCCAGCTGCCCCCTCGCCTGGGGGCAAGGCTTTGTAACACCCCTCACAGCGGGGCCTCTTCTGGCGCCGGATGGGGCTTTCCGGCTCCTCTCCGGCCTCTGACAGGCAGGCTGCTGGCTTCAGTTTCTGACAGCCCGGCTATTCAGAGCTCCTCGGCCACCTCCCTGAGCCAGGGGCGCAGCCCTTAATCCTGCCAGATACGCCCCCCTCCAGTCTTGTCCACCCGTCCGACCAATCAGTAATCACGAGTCGAACCCCAAACTCCTGAGCTGGGGAGCTGCCGGGGTTCAACCAAACGCCAACACTGGCCAATCCTTTGCCTGCTCCTGGCGGCACCTTCTTCACCTGTTCTCAGCCACCGCAGAGGCTAGACGCAGATTTTTAAAAACACTGTACACTATACAGCTCCTGCTGTAATCCCAGGGCTCCAGGAGCTGGGGCTTGGAGAAAAACACCAACCAGCGTGAGACTCGCCAGACACCTGCGAGGTTTGGTACCCCTGCATTTCACAGCTTGGGGCTGAGAGCCTGCACCTCAGCGGCAGCCTCCGTGCCCCTCTGCACATAGCGTCGGTGCTCAGCAGCCCCGTCCCACGCACGTGCGACCGGCCAGCCACTCACTGCCTGTGTCGCTCTCCCTGCAGGGAGTTCCTCCGAGCCATCAACCAGTTTGCTGACACCTTGACCCAGATGTTCCTGAGCAGCAGCAGCTTGGAACTGCAGGTGAGCAGAGGGGCTGGGAGGCCCTGCCCAGCGCTGAGCGGGGCCTGTGAGAGCCGGGGCAGCAGGGGGGCATCAGGCCTTTGCCAGCATTTTTGCTAATGCTTTACCTGGGGCTGCTCCAGTGGCGCCTGTGACAAGGGCTGGGGGAGCATTTCTGGGCAGGCTTCGGATTGGTCTTGTCATCCCCTGCAGGTTTGTAGTGTTTCAGGTGAGACGGGGTCAGCCCCTGCCCTGGTTCCTGCCCCCCCCCATCTCTGGCTCCTGCCTCCCCCCTCGTCCCTGGTTCCTGCCCCCCCTACATCTCTGGCTCCTGCCTCCCCCTC